CCGGTACAGTACCGTGCGCCTGCTGAGAACATTGATCTATGACTAAGTGTCACGGTATTTATTAAGCTTGAACAGATGGACATTTAGAGAACTGCAGCAGAAATAAAATAATCGCTGCAACAAGTCGCACAACCTTGCTTAAAACATCACTTATTTTAAAACCGACTTCCCTTTACCCTCCGTATGGCCGGTCGATATGTTTTTTTTTAATCCTTTGATAAGCTTACATGAGGTTGATAAATAATCTTTTATTCGGCTAACGTTTTAACGGTTTCATCTTCATCAGAGCCGATGATCTGAGTCGATGGCTCACAGTTGCTTGTGTTCTCAAGGTGGCATGGACTTCGCGCAACGAAGTCCATCTCTCTCAAATGAGCCATGCTCACCCGGCGATTCCCTTTTATACAGCGCATTGGATGTTGATAACAGTGACTGTCCAGTGGTGACGACTTCTCTTCCTCAATGGAGCATCTTTTTCGAATGAGCCACACACACCAGGCGATGCATTTTTACAGATCCGGTGTCCGGAAGATCAGGCTCGATGCGCAACGAAAACGCCACCACGAGAACACGAACAATGGACCATCGATTCGTGTCATCGGCTCGGATGAAGGCCAAACCGTCGAGACATTAGCCGATTAAGACTATTTATCAAACTCGTGTGAGCCTATCAAAGAAGGATTACATATTACTTACTTACTTGGACTTTGTTTCTCGCGCAATTGTCGTACATGGTGGTGGTCTGCTTCGAATAATATGGTGATGTCTGCTAGCCATATTCTGTTATTTTGAAATTGTTGCCATATGCGAGTGCAGATGGTTGACGTTAGTCACTCGTTTAGGTGGTCATCCAAGAAAGAACTTCCATTTTCTTAGAATCCACTTCACTATTCTTTTCGTACTTCTGTCATATGTTCTTCTTATTATGTGTCAGCTCACCTGTCTGGCTATCGTTGCATATCTTCCTGAATGCCGAAAACGAGGTAGTTTCTAAAGATCTGAGCTGCCATTTGGCTATTTATAGAGGAATTCTTTATCAAATGGAAAATTCTCTGTTTACCTAATAAATATTCTCTATAATTTTGCGCGTTCAATCAAATAACTTTCTGGTGATACGAAAGTATACGTGACCTGGCGGCACGATAACTATATCGCGTGGTTGCCCAGTAGCATAAGCAGAAGAACCCCAATGGCATAACTACAATTGGGTAGACCGTTTTCGCCCACTTCCGTGGCGGTCCGCGATGGTATAAACAGAGGCGCCCTCAAAGGTATAACCAGTAAAGTCTAGGTTATCTCTGGCCGTTTTTTAGCATAGCGTGTTACGTTCGCCCTAGAACCCCGTTTCTGTCCATGATTCAATTGCCATCCTCTCCACATGTATATACCATTTCATTATTTTACGAATAACCTCTAAGCGAAGTTTCGTCAAGCATTCGCACACTTTCACTCTAGTCAGACCACACCTATTTTTTGCTTACTCGGATAATTGATTAAATTGTAATTATTTTCTATTCAAGTAAATAGTGTCAATAATTGTTGAAACACTCTCTACGCCAACATACGCAATGCCTGCACAACAACACTTCTCAGTTCAACAACCTATTCGTCTTGATACATCAGTCTGTGTTATGAGCTCTCATGTCACGTTAGCGTTAAGCAAAATATTCGTTATACGCAACACTGAAGAAATGCTTGTCACTTTGCACAATGCTTGAACCTCTTATGTAAGTCCTTACGATATTGATGCAACTTTATATTAATTTCTTTCTTCGTAGAAAGAGTTACTGTGTCATTTCGACTGAATAGTATTTGTATTAGACTCATTTTCCCTACCCCATAAACATGTCTCCTTGTAGCCTCACATAGGTGTACAGTATTTGCCCCGAAACATTAATGCCGTTGTATTCATGTTTTATATATGCACATAAAGCTTTAATTATCCAAGTTTGAAGTCCAACGGCACACATGACTACACGAGTAAAAGTCCCGCATGCAAACTAAAAATGTCGAGCATCCCATCCACAATTGGCGGGCAGAGAACAAACCCGACCAAATACTATTCTGTACTCCACGGACTAACTGATAGATACATCGTTCAAGTGATCTGTGGGTGGTGCGCAAATTTTTCGACGTGGTTGAAGTATCGTCCCACGTTTCTACTGCATAACAGCGCTGCGAGGAATGTTGAATCAAAAAGATGGTTACGACGCTTTGGATTCCTTAGTTTATCGATGGGTTCTTTGAAGGGCCCAAAGGTGGTGTGATCCGTGATGCTTTCCTTCTTCTGTCTAATTCCCCCTTAATGTTGCTCTTCACGTTTACTAAACGGCCAAGGTATGTGAACGAAGTGGCCTCTATAATCAGAGAATCACCCAGCTCGTTATGTTCACCTTCGCACCATAGGTTCTCCATGAATTGGGTGTTTGTCCTATTTATGCGCATTCCAATGTGTTTCATGCTTCGTTGAGTTCATTGAGAATCCTCTCTGCTTCACTGGTACTCTCTGAAAAGGTAACGATGACTTCCTCGAGACGAAGGTTTGATAGAAATTTTCCATCAATGCAAAACCCTTTCTCATCCTAATCGAATGACTCCATTACTTTGGCGAAATGGTGGCTGCGTTGCGAACGCCTTTTCTTGTATGTAAGAAGTCGATGAAAAACCTGTAAATTTGTGTCGCAGTTCCGACTGCAGTCAGATGAAGTTCGTATATAAGATATGTCCACTCTTTGATGAACGGACGCTGAGAGAACTGCTTTCGTCTGGACGCTGTTAAACACTTTTTCTTGGCTTCGGAATACTGGTTGTTCTGCTAGTTGCGCCTCATCTGCTGTTTTCCATGTGCGCAAAAAGATAATCTTTATGAATACCTTACGGAATACGCTCAACAAGCATATCGGACGATAGTTACGAAATTTCAAACGGTCACCATTTTCCGACACGATGACCATACTCGGCGTCTTCGACATTTGGGATTTCTGGTCCTGAAGGTAAGACGCCATGTGAGCTGAGAGAAATAGATATAATTTATCTTTACCAGGTCCATGGAAGTCGGCTTTAATATTATCTGCTACTAAAGCTGTGCCTGTATTGACACTTTCTTTCGCAAATCAAAACTTATAGGATCTCGCCTGGGTTTTTTGTGGGTAACTTCGGAGTCTGAGACGGACATATAGTGATAGTAATACGCTCATTGATCAAGACTGATAGCGGAACACTACAGTCACACTGACTACAAGGCACTTCTTCAAATTAGACCGTTTTAGGGCTTCTTCCAGCAACTTTTTCTGCCTATGCCGATGTAAATCCTCCTACAAATATTTGCAACTAATGCGTCTGTAATCAATTGTGTTAGAGGTGTCGCATTAGGATCAGGGTTCAATTTTGTCGACAAGTCGACCAATAAACATTATCTAGTAGAAAATAATATCCTCTATAGTAACTTTATTTTATATATCTTCTGGTAGTGATTGACGTCTAGCCAGATGTGACGCAAGGAATTATCTTCAACAACGACAACAACGATAGCGGGTCACCCAACTACAATTAGCATCTATCAGCACAATAAGAGCGGTTACCAACGATAAACAGCATCTGCCCACAAATTGAGGTTGTCAAGAATAAAGGATACGTTGGTATAAACAATATCATATACTTTCAATACCAGATGGAACACAATATTGTTTATGCATTTGCCACTATAATTGTGATATACGAGGACAATGCAAGGGTCAACAACAGTACCCATCTGCCCGCCCCCTGAGGCAGTATAAAAGGACCGCGGTCTGCTGGTGAGGCCCACATGTCGGAGTTCCTCCCAGTCGCCATCTCAGTTCCTGCCACATACCATTTTCGTTCACCTCGTGTCATAGAATTGCGCTACCGTACTTTATTGTAGGAAACCTCTCAGACAGGCACTGATCTTCCTTAGTATACATACTTATCATGACATTGTATCTGTAAGAGTTAAGCAATATTCTGTAGTTTTGTTGTATGTTAACACCTCACAGGCTTAAGCATTGTCTTTTCTCTTCACATTCCTCACTACTAGTACGGTAGCTAATTACGGTACGCCATTCGCGCCAACAACCATCTGGTCCCATTGGTACCCGCGCTACCATATGGTCTTCACCTCTATAGGTCAAATTGTACTTTTATATGAAAGCACTCTCTCTCATATTAACACAATAGCCAATACAACTACTCTCCTACTTTAAGGTATCTTTTTACTGATTGTCTTACGCTTATTTGGTAATCCTGTTATTAACGCGCCACTTATACTGCTTTTTAGTACCTTCTTTTTGTTATTATTATAATATTGGTATAAACGGTTTAATTACCCAAGTTTGAGATTTACGCTGTGAAGGCAACAACCACAAGACCCGCGTGGCGAAGAACGAGCAAATACAATTCGTCCAAGCTAGCAGATCAACACTGTGTGGAGCTGCACTCAAAAGGAGCAAGTCAACCGCCAAACTCTCACGTGGAACCCTAGTCGTTGGTTCATTGGGCAATCATAGCCTACAGATCAATTGTAGTACCCTAAAACTACAATACCTATTTCTTGACTCTCAAATTCACAGCGTCTCAGACGTCAAAGGGTAAATACCTATATTGCAGAACCATCAAATAATAAGGATCACAAAACAGATCCACTTTCGAGAGTCAAGCAGAGACAACAACTAGCAGATAGTCCGTACGCTATCTAATATTTACTACAACCTAATATTCTCACCACTGAACTACTACTAAGTAGTGAGCGGCTCAACGGTCACTACCACGCAAGTGCATCCAACGCAGCCGCCACTATACTATAATTTTTGGTGCATTGGCACAGCAAAAGAATCCAGGTCAGCTGATTTATCCTTTTAAAACATATCATTCAAAACTGAATCATGCCCCTTCGACTTGTGGTCCTAATTCAAAAGCGACTACTCACAAAATATACCAAGCAACTGGAAAAAGTAGTAATGAGACTCAAAGAAGGTCAACTAGAAATGGTGAGCCTCACAGGCTCAGTAACTGATATCACACCAGCCTTTATACAGGAAAGTCTACAAAGGTTGGAAGAAGGAGCAGCCGCAATCGAAAAAGCTACACAGAAAGTTGAAAGCGCACTAAACGATTTTGCCATTAAACTCCAAGAAATACACCCAGATCTGCCAAACGTCGAAACGGCATTCGAGGAAGCCGTGGCCGACTCAGAACAAGCAATAGCTAACGCTTTCGAGTATGTCACAATCCTCCACGCTCGCATAAAGGGCTTTAAGGCGTACATCGAGCGCTCCCAAGATGACACCACAACGAACAAGTGGAGCGACACATCATCAATGCAAACTGCAATCATAAAGAACCTCGAGCTACCCACAATCCCCATTCCAACGTTCAACGGCGATATATGGGAGTGGGACAACTTTTGGGAGCTCTTTAATACAAATATACATTCATAAAAGGTCTCAGACCTACATAAATTTAATTACCTCATTAGCTCATTAAAAGGAGAACCCCTTCAAGCCATAAAGAAATTCCAAATCGGCAAGGAAAGCTACCAAAAAGCTATAGATTTTCTCATTAAGAAGTATGGAAACCCTGAAGAACTCATTCTTCAACTTCTCGACAAACTGGACAAAACTGCTCCTCGCTCATACGCTTTGCATGAGCAAAGAACACTACTGGACCATATACAAGCGATAATACTCCAACTAATCGAAAAAGGAGAAAATGTAAACAATCAATGCATGTACAAGAAAGTACTATCGAAATTTTCTATCGAAACGCAACGTAAAGTACTTTCGAAGAGAACGACAACTGAGGAACTCTTTGACATGCAACTACTTCTACAGTTACTGCCACGACCGACTTTCTATTAACCTCGGCATTGATCAAGTGATTTTCTTCGTATTTTTGTTGAGCAAACGCGAGGTGTTACTATTCTTTGTTCACGATTAAGCTGACGTTTCGGCGGATTTCGCCTTCTTCAGAGCCGCTTTCTATGAGGTTTCCACTAAGTATGTCACGTAGAGACCAACCGCACAGAAATCACGTGGAAGTATAATGTGTACATTTACATTATACATTGTGGACATTTGTGAAAGCGGCTCTGAAGAAGGCGAAATCCGCCGAAACGTCAGCTTAATCGTGAACAAAGAATAGTAACACCTCGCGTTTGCTCAACAAAAATACGAAGAAAATTACTTCTACAGTTCCTAGAAGAGATCATCTCCAATGAAGAATTGATCTCACGCTATACCACAAATAGCCGATCAATTCCAACCACTAAAACCAACTTTGGTAGCAAAGCAAAACAATGGAAACCCCAATATTCAATGCTTTCATGCATGTATTGCAAGAGTAACCATAAATCGCTCTACTGCGACAAGTATAGAACACCTCAAGAAAGGTCGCAGTACCTCCAAAAGAATGGGTTGTGCTATATTTGTGCATCCTCCTCCCACAACACATTTCAATGCAGCAAGCCATCGTGTTACAGGTGCCAAAAACGGCACCATACATCGTGATGCTTCTATTCACAAAAAGAAAAACCTCTCACACTATCCCCGAAAAGAGGAGAGACCAAAAAAGATGTAAAAGATAACAAAGGAAAACTGAAAGATGGGAAATCAACAACAAAAATAAATCAAGTCGGACAAGGAGCAGCTACCGAAGAGGAAACATCAACCCTATTAAACAAAACACTAAAGTCAACCTTCTTACCTACAGGAAAAATGACTGTGATAGACCCAACAACCAAACAGCTGAAGAAGATCTCCGTTTTGCTGGACACTGGAGTAGAATTATCGTTCATAGACGAAAAACTCGCTCAAGAACTTCGTCTGCCCACAATAGGGGAAACAAAATTACGATTACACACATTCGGATCAGACGAGATAAAAGAAAATATATCAAGGAAAGCTCCATTAGAAGTATGGGACGCAGATGGGCACCAGCTCTCACTGTTCCTGTTCACACACGACGGAATAACAAAACCATTCAAACCGGCACCAATCTGCCCAGAAGATGTAAACTTCATTCGAAAGCACAATCTTCAAATTGAAGTCAACAAAAATAAATCTAAAATCAAACCATCTATCCTGTTAGGCTGTGACCAATTGTGGACTCTAATAAAAACCGATAAACCCCACATTAAACTGCCATCCGGATTACATCTTCTTCCAACACGCCTCGGACACTTGTTTACAGGGAAAATCAGAAATTCACCACAGTCACAACAAAACGAAAGTGTGAACTCAGTACAACTACAGCAAGACGAAGATGAAACGGATAAATGGGATGAATATTGGACATTACAAGGACAAATCAATACTGCCTTCATCCAACGTCCCGAAGCAAACGATGACGAGGCCTTCAAAAGGGAAAAAGATGATGACGAGGCACTCAAGTGGGAAAAATACTGGACATTAGAATCCGCCGGTACAGAGGAATTTTTGAACTCCGAAGCAGAAGAAAAAAAGATTGATGGATGATAAAGTTTAGGAAAACTTCAACAACACCATTGAAAAACGATCCGACGGATATTACGTTCGTCTTCCTTGGAAAGAATTACACACATCATTACCCGATAACAAAGCAGTTGCACTCAACAGGCTCATAAGTGTATGGAAATCCTTACAAAACAACGAAGATTTGCTGAATATGTATAATAGCATATTTGAAGAACAACTTCGCTTAAATGTTTTAGAGGAAATTGTCGAAGAGAAGTCACCACAAGCTTCTCGTATTCATTATATTCCTCACCAAGCCGTCTTAACACCGAATAAAAACACTACTAAACTCAGGATAGTCTATGACGCATCAGCTCATTACAAAGGGTGTCCATCACTAAACGATGTTTTGCATCGTGGACCAGTCTTCCCGAACTATTCGGAGTTCTCCTCCGGTTCAGAATCCGACGAATCGCAATTACTTCAGACGTCGAGAAAGCGTTCTTACAAGTACGACTTCATGAAGATGACCGTGATGTCACGCGTTGCCTGTGGTTACATGATCACGAATCACCACCCTCTCCAAGCAACATTAAAACCCTTCGATTCACCCGCGTAACCTTCGGATTAATTACATCACCGTTCCTGCTGGCCGGAACAATTCACTTCCATCTCAATCAGTACAAGCAGGACTCTGAACTGGTCACAGAGCTCAAAGACAACTTATATGTCGACAACTTTATATTAACTGTCGACGACCTGGAAGAGTCACTGCATATCTACGCACGTACAAAACAAATATTCAGTGACCTCAATATGAATCTTCGTGAATTTGTCTCAAACAACGCGGATTTGATGGCAAAAATAGCCACGCAAGACAAATCAGACGAAAAACTACCGAAAGTGCTTGGAATTCCATGGAATACATATTCTGATTACCTACAGCTATCATGCATTCCAAAAACACAACCACGTGTAACAAAGAGAACAGCTGCTAGTACGCTAGCCTCTGTATACGATCCCATGGGTTTCCTGTTACCTTTACTCCATAGAGCAAAGATATTCCTGCGAACTTTATGGAAAGACAAGTACGACTGGGACAATGCTCTACCAGAATCCTACAAAGAACAATGGAACAATATATGCACAGAAATGCAAGGATTCTCGATATCTCTACCACGTTATCTTGGCACAAAGAATTCTAATTACACTTTAGTAACTTTTGCCGATGCCAGTACCGAAGCAATCGCCACTTGCATTTATCTACGCTCAGAAGACTCAACTAATCTCCTTATGGCAAAAGGGAAACTGTCTTCACTGAAGTCCACATCAACAATACCAAAAATGGAACTAGATGCTGTTACCTTGGCACTCCGATTAACAAGGGTCGTGCTAATCCAACTTCAAAAGGCGTTAAGAGTTCGAGAAATTTTCATTTTTTCCGACTCGGAAATCGTACTTAACTGGATAAAACGCAGACCTCTCAAAAATGTCGGGCTCAGAATATTTAACCGACTAATGGAAATAGAAAAAATTGCTGAATATATTCAAAGCGTCGGTTCTTGCATCTTCTTTGCTCATGTCGCCTCACAATACAATGCTGCCGACTGTGCAACTCGTGGACTCAACCAACATGAATTGCTGGGCCATTTTTGGTGGACTGGACCATCCTTCCTTCAAGAATCTCCAGAACAATGGAAAGTCAACTTCGACGTCTTCCAAAACAGCGAAGTCTCTTCGACAGAATCTCCGCAATCAAATTACAATCAGAGCTTAAATACTGTTGAGGAATTTTCTAGAGAAGAACAGCAACTCTTTCTCACATGACACAGTCCCTCAAACAATAAAAACGAGAATGATATCTTCAACTCATTGAAGGAATATTCGTTACCAAACGCAAAAAGGATTGTGGCACTAATCATACGTTACATTCGGATTTTAATCACTAAAGTGAATGTCAGAACACACCGACATATTAAACTTTCTAAACTTTTGGAAAGTACGGATCCAAATCAGTATTTCAACATTTCAGGCAAAGAAATTACAATAGCCGGAAAAATGCTAGTCAAACAACATCAACTATCCACAATAACTAACTCCGCATTTCAGTCGATGACACACCTCAACGTCAGACCTGACGAATAAGGTCTGCTCCGATGTTTTGGACGGTTGGGAAGAAGTGATTTAAACGCAGAGACCAAAAACCCTCTGCTCGTGCTGCAAAATTCCTGGCTAGCACGTGCAATTATACAAGACTGTCACAACAAAGGACATCCAGGCATAAGCCATACAATGTCAATTGTACGACAAAAATTCTGGATTCCCAAATTGAGGGCACAAGTAACACGTATCCTCAGGCATTGCATACAATGCCAAAGGTTCAACAACCTTCCTTACAATTACCCCGAACAAAGTGACCTACCCCAACAAAGAGTTTTGAGGTCACGACCCTTTGAACACGTAGGTCTGGACTACTTTGGTCCACCAACAATCATTCAACAAGACTCCACTGAAGGCAAGTGTTATGGAGCTATAATAACATGCATGGCAACGAGACTTATACACCTCGATATTGTCTCGGACCTCACGACCACGGCATTCTTAATGTTTCTACGCCGTTTCTTTGCAAGAAGAGGAATGCCCAAATCCATTACAAGCGACAACGCTCCAACTTTCATTCTTGCAGAAAACATTCTTAATGAATGCCTACAGTCTATCCAAAAAGACCCAGCAGTAATGCGAGCTATCAGCAATCGAGAAATACAGTGGAGATACATCACTCCGTTTGCTCCATGGCAAGGAGGGTTTTATGAAAGGCTCATCAAGTCAGTAAAACACTCCCTCTATAAGACCCTTGGAACAGCAAAACTCTCAATGGAGCATTTAACAACAGTTATAATCGAAATCGAGTCCCTGCTAAATACAAGACCACTCTTGTATATGGAATCACAGTCAGCACGAGAGGAAGTACTCAGACCTATCGACTTCCTTCAAAATGAATTCGAATT